CTCACGTGCTGCGGCGGGCAGGTGCGCGGAGGGCAGTCGCGCTCGTCATCGCCGTCGGCGCAGTCGTCGCGGCCGTCGCAGCGCGCGGTGGCGGGCAGACAGCGCGGGGGGGCGCGCGCGGTGGCGTTGCCGCGGCACTTGAGCTGGCCGCCGAGGCAGGCGAAGGCGTCGCAGGCGCGCTCGTCGGAGCCGTCGCGGCAGTGCGGCGTGCCGTCGCAGATGTGCGCCGGGTGCGCGCACTGCCCGTTGCCGCACTGGAACTGGCCGGGCGCGCACCGGAACTGCGGGCACGACCCCGGCTCGTCGGATCCGTCGCCGCAGTCGTCCTGCACATACCCCGCACCACCCCGCGCCACCACATTAACGATCTAATTTATATTGAATCTTATGTTGACCGGGCCAGTTTGCCGGAGTGAGGCAGAGGGCGCACCTGAGTATCGCAGCGCCACCAAAAGGGAATACACTTGAGGGTATTTTGGCAGACGAACTGAGCGGCCGTGCAGTTGGGCGTGCAGGAGCGGCCGTCGTCCGCCAGCACGAAGTGTTCGGGACAGGCGCAGCGCGCGCCCGCGTGCCCGCCCGCGTGCCCGCCCGCCTCGCTCGGCGTCAGCAGACACAGCCCCGTGCAGTTGAGTCGCTCACACAGCGCCGTCAAGTCTGCCCGCATGTACACATACACTTTTACATCTTTCTCACAATACACTACTCATTTAAAAAGTAACCAATTTTGGTGTTGATCTCTAACTTTCTTCGCATTTAACATTTTAATACTCTTCTTAACGATCAAAAAAAAAAAGTTTTGCAATAAGTATCGTAGCGCAGCAGCGGCAGCAACAGTGCGGTACGTACTTGTGAGGGGCGGCTGTCGCGCGGGGTGGTACACGCGCAGGTCCATCGGCTTGTGCACAGTGTGCACCTCGGTGCGGCACCGCCACGCCCCGCCGCCCGCCGGCGCGCTGTCGTTACCTTCCTGCACACACACACACACACACACACACACACAGATGTAAGTCTCGTACTGTGTCAGGTGACAGAGAGGCAGTCAGAGTAATGACATGGTGTACCTTGTAGTGGGGGTCGGGGCGGCGGCGACAGCTCTCGAGCGCGCGCGTCTCCCAGTCGCTCCAGTAGACGCGGCCCGCCCACACGCCCAGCGCGAACACGTGGTGCAGCCGCAGCCACGGCATCTGCTCTGTGAACCGTCACACCGCTCATTGCCCACCTCTGTCGCGCCTCTCTCCCTCCTCCCGCAGCGCGACTGCGTACCTCTGGAGAAGAGTATGCGCATGTGGTTGCCGTCGAGGTCGGCGACGGCGATGAAGTCGTCGCGCGCGTCCGCGAAGTAGAGCTCGTTGTTGGCGGGCAGCAGCGTGAGCGCGTTGGGCCAGCCCAGGCCCGCCTCCAGCAGCACGCGCCGCGCCGACCCGTCCATGCCGCAGCGCCCGATGTGCGCGCGCGCGCCCCAGTCCGACCAGTACAGCGTGCTGCCGGCGCGGGGGGGGGGCATTGAACACTTAGCGACCCTAACTTACGAGAGTTATCAACGGTACACAGTACGGTTGCCGGAGATAACGACTTCCGAAAAAATTAAATCCTTTTTATAGTAGGCAATCATAGTTTAAAATAGATACCCGGCGCCGGGATTGAGCGCGAGGCCGCGAGGCTCGGCCAGACCGCCGCGCAGCAGCACGCGCCGGTGCCGGCCGTCGAGGCGCGCCACCTCCACAGTGTCCGTGCCCTTGTCGCACCAGTACACGTTGCGCGCCACCCAGTCCACCGCCAGCCCGTCCGGGTTCTGCAGCGTCGCGCCCTGCACCAGCTGCCCGGACGAGAACAACAAGTCGGTGTAGTTCGGTAACCTCGGTGCGAGACAAGCCGCAGCACGGTGCGGCTGCCTGGTACTACCTGGTAGTCGGCAGTGGAGGCGTCGAGCGCGCGCAGCGGGTCGCGGGGCGGGGGGCGTGCGCCCACCCCCCGACACACGCGCTTGATGGAGCTGCCGAGACGCGTCACGTCGCTCCAGTACAGGCAGCCGCCCGCCCAGTCCATGTCCAGCGCCACCGCGTTCGTCAGGTTGTGTACCAGCAGTGACGTCACCGCACCCGCCCCCTCGCCCGCCTCCTCGCCCGCGATGCTCGTTTGACGGATGTAGTACCGATTCGTGAATATGAGGGACGCTTTGATAGCTGTACAACAATGTTAACTATAGATCGGCACTCTACTATATGCAAAAAGAAATCAATAAAAAATGCGACTTACGCGAGATAGGCTCACAACTGATGCCGTCGGCCATAAGTCTGTATCCATCGTGACACGAGCAGACGAAGCTGCCGAGCGTGTTCCTGCAAAGACCGGAACATAGGATTGACAAAGCTGGCGAAAGTCGCATAATGTATAAGCAGTCGTCGGGGCGTCGGGGACAGAGTTGTCGATGAAGGTGCTGACCGGCAGCGCTGGTCGCAGGGGTCGTCCTCGGCGCACTCGTCGACGTCGCGACAGGCGCCGGCGCCCGCGCGCCGCCAGCCCGCGCGGCACCAGCACGCGTGCCCGGCCGGCAGGTCCGTGCAGTTGTGCGCGCAGCCTCCGTTCAGCACCAGGCACTCGTTCACGTCTGAAGCGACATCACATTCCTTACACCTGGCGAGAGCTGGGGGGCGCCAGGGCGCCAGGGCGCGAGGTCCCGGGCAGCACTCACCGCAGCGCCACTCGTCGCTGTAGTCGCCGCAGTCGTCGTTGCCGTCGCAGAGAGCGCGCGCAGACACGCAGGCCGCGTTCGCGCAGCGCCACTCGCCGCGCGCGCAGCCCCACAGCGCCACACCCCCCACACCCCCCACCGTCTCACCCCCCGACCCGAACGCTCGCGAGTACGAAGCTGCAAAATCTCATCGTCATCGAGTGCGAAATTAGCTTTGGTCCACTTAAAAAAATTATAATTCGTAGCTAAAGCCAAATTTCATAGAGACCCGTTAAACCGACCCGGAGATACCTTGTAATAAACAAATATCAATCCATCCATTTAAACTTTCGTATTTATGATAGTAGTAACATTAAGAGCCCTCACCGCACATGACGGGGTCCTCGTCGGAGCCGGCGCCGCTACCGCCGCCGTCCAGGCAGTGGTCGCGACCGTCGCAAGCCAGCGCGCCCGGCACGCAGCGCCCGCTGCACCGTATGCTCCCCGCCGGGCACAGGGGGTCCGCACCCGCCGCCTCCGCCCCCGCTCCCGCCCCCGCCCCCGCCGCCACGCCGGTGCAGCCCGCCGGCTCGTCCGACCCGTCGCTGCAGTCCACGTCGCCGTCGCAGTACAACGCCTGCAAGCGACGTCAAGTTATACTTACATTATTGTCATGATCGTTTATACGAACGTGAAGGCAGAGAAGGAGATGTGACACGGACCGAGTCGAGGCAGAGCGCGGAGGCGGGGCAGCGGAAGGTGCCGGCGGCGCACAGGCAGCCCGCCTCGTCCTCGCCGTGCGGGCAGTCCGCGGCGCCGTCGCACACGCGCGCCCGCGCCGTGCACGTGCCCGACACCGCGCACTCGTACAGCTCCGGCCCGCACCGCGTTATGTTGTTCTTAGGGGTGGTCACGTGGCCTGACACAATCGTATACGTTTTTATATCACATACATTGTTTAAAAGGTGCAAAAAATATTTCCAAGGGTACCGCAATGCAGGGTCTCATCGGAGCCGTCGCTGCAGTCGGCGCGACCGTCGCAGCGCCACGCCAGCGGAATGCACTCCACCTCCGCGTCGCCCGCGTCCCGCCCTCGCCCCGCGCACTCCCACTGCCCCTCGCCGCACTCCCCCGCCGCCTTCGCCTCCTCCGGACTCTCTGTCCCGCCGCTCTCGGTACTTTCTGATATGTAAAACGTATGCTTAAAACCCAACCCGACAAATTAGCGGTTCCAGAGGTGAACTGGAGGTGATCGCGGAAACGGCGACACTTACCGGCGAAGCAGTGCCGCTCATCGTCGCCATCCGGGCAGTCGGCGACGCCGTCGCAGCGCCACTCGGGCAGGTAGCAGGCCTGCGCGCCGCCGCAGCGCAGCGCCCGCGCGCCCAGCGCCGCGCACGATGCACGCGCACACCCGCGCTCGTCGCTCGCGTCCGCGCACTGCACCACGCCGTCGCAGCGCCCGGACACCGGCACGCACATGCCATCCTCGCACCTGGATATCGAATACGATTCATTTTGTAGGTGACCTCCTACATATTCCCCAACAACACTGTACAGTCACACATACACACACATACATAACACGCATACTACAACACTTGCACATAAACACGTCGATTTGTTGACCTCTGATTGGCAAATTTGAATTGCAACGCACAGCTGAGCGGGGGTCACTGACCGGTTCTGCATACGCGCGAAACGACAGTGGAGTTCTGCAGCGCCCGCGATATACCACGCTTTCGTTATTGCTCGAATTTGTATATTTCTCTTTCTCCTACTTGTATTCTTCTTAGTGTTGTACTCTCCTTCTTATTATTTGTTGTGGACTTTGAGTGATAATAAACTGTGTTGTGGATATAACTGTGCCTCATTTCACCTGTCGCCGCACTCACACACACTTCACATCATCATTCACACCTTCCCTCACAGGTGACACACCACGTCACCTTGCCCCTCAATTTAATCCTCTTAATAATAGACTCTCGTTTAGTAAAAGAAATGAGAGAGTTAGTACTTGATGTGCGTGGGCGGGCAGTCGCAGCCGAGCTCGTCGGCGCCGTCGTCGCAGTCGGCGCGGCCATCGCACTGCGCCGAGCGCGCCACGCAGCGCCCGCCCGTGCCGCACGCCATCCAGCCCGCCTCGCACGTGCGCGACGCTGACGACAAAGTATACTCGTTTAAACAGTAGGTGCTTTCACAAAAACTAATAACGTTTATGTGCCTCATAAAAACAACCCAAACGCGCTTGGCACTCACTGCAATAATAAAGGTCCTCGTCGCTCGCGTCCTGTCCGTCGCTACAGTGCGGCACCCCGTCGCACACGAGGTCCAGCGGCACGCAGCCGCCCTCCGCGCACGCGAACTGTCCCGCCCCGCACGCCGCGCGCCCCGCCCCCGCCGCCGCGCACGCCAGCCCGTCGCGCGCCAGCTCGCGCCCCGCACCGCACGCGCACGCCACTTGACCCTCCGCCGACACCGAGCACAGCTCTGCGCACCCGCCGTTCAGTATCGAGCACGGGTCCTTCTCGCCTGCAGATTACATATTTCTTATGAAATAAAGAGAGTTTAAAGGTGACAAAAATGCAAGGTCAATGATTGTGCGGGCACTCACAGGTCTGGTGCTGAGGCGCGACGACGACGAGCGCCATGGGGCGAGGCAGGTGGCGGCGCAGCGCACGCGCGCCCCCGGCCCGCTTGTCGGCGCGCAGCACGGCGCGAGCCACCCAGTCCGACCAGAACACCCAGCCGCCGCCCACCGCCACCGCGAACGGGTGCTTCGCCTCCGAGCGCGTCACCACCTGCCGCCCACTCCTCCACCATTACCCTCACGAACTAGCTCACCGTTCGCCTACTTTGTTGTTGTTGTGGTAAAGCGCGAGCGTACGTGTCGGTGCGAGCCGTCGTAGTGCGCGCGCTCGATCTTGTCGAGGCGTGCGTCGGCCCAGTAGAGTCGACGCGCGGCGTGGTCCAGTGCCAAGCCGTTGGGCATCAGGATGTCGGTGCTGATGATGCTCTGCAGCGCCAGCCCTCCCACCAGCGCGCGCTGGATCGATGGGTGCGACTGGTTCCAGTTGGTCCAGTACAGCCGCCTGCGAAACACGAGCGCCTTATGTTATTTAACGATACATTTTACATCTTAATCTTAAATAAAAAAAATGTTTAAGTACACATCAGGAATCATTTATGACAAAAATGGAGGAGAGCTCACTGTTGACAGGGGTCGAAGTCGAGGCCGCGCGGGCGCTCGCCGGGCGGCAGGCGCAGCACGTCGCGCACGAGGGCGGCGCGCTGGCGGCGGGGCGTGGCTCGCACCTGCGCCACCTCCGCGCCCCGCACCCCCGCCGCACTCGTCCAGTATAGCGCGCCGCGAGCCCGCGCGAACACCATGCCCTCCACCGCGCCCACCTCTGCACACACAGCGGCCTCAGCGCGCTACCCTCACCCTCACCCTCCCCCGCACCCCCCACTCCCCACACTCACGCTCCAGCAGCACCTCGTGCCCGCTGCCGTTGAAGTGCACGGTGTTGATGGAGCCGCGCTGGATGTCGGAGTAGAAGAGGCGCGATTCGCTGTACTCGTACGCCAGCGCGATCACGTTGCGCATCAGCTCCCTGCAACACGTCTCGTCCTCCTACATTCCGCGCCCCACCCCGCACGCACCGACAATAGTATCATTATAATAATGCATACTCACTTGTCCTCGATGGGCGGGTACGGAGAGTTCAGGTCCGTGTCGTTCTCGAGATGGATGCTGTCGATCTTCGTCACCCGCGAGTACATCAGGAACGCCTTGTGCGCTGCAGAAAGACGTTGACACGGCTTAGACTTGGAGCGTCGTCTCGGTTCGGTACGAGAGAGAATAATACAATGGTGTACGTACGCAGACAGGCCTTGCCGTCGGGCGCCAGCTGGCCGTGCGGGCAGACGCAGCGCGCGCGCCGCCCGTCCCACAGGCACAGCGCCGCGCACCCCGCGCCCGCCGCACCCTCCGCTCCCTCCGCGCCCTCCGCGCCCTCCGCGCCCTCAGCCGCCGCGCACGGGTTGGCGCTCCGCCTTGACTGCCGCTCCTTCGACCATATCTACCACGGATAAATCTCATATTAATATTACCAAATAAAATATCACTAAACTAAACGGTACGGTTACCA